AATGGAAACAGATGTCCCTTTGGTCTGCCTTTGCTGGAGCTTCCTACTTATCAGGAAGATGAAAGCGATTAATAAACTGTTAGTTCTTTTTCAAATGGTTTCAAAGGGATGGGGATGTAATCAAAGCCAGGGTCAGAAGTGGATCGAAAAGAGAGAGAAAGCATCTGTGCTTGTGAATTTCATAAATTAGGATTAGTGATTGGTTGGGGACTTAAAAAACTTCCATAACTTGCTAGTATAACAACTGTTTCCACAATGCCAAAGCCACAATGTGTGTTCGTGTTTGCATTTTAGATGCGTTTTTTCCTCTACTCAGCTTTAGTGTGTATTAGACGTTAAAAATCCTATAAAAATCACCTAACTTCATATTAATCTCACAAGTCAGTTTCTAAAGGCCTCACTCATTACAGCTGAGTACAATCTCCAATCTGTCATTGCTAAAACTGTAAGGAAACGATTCGAGAGTTTAAAAACACCTTCATTGCAGATCCATTCCAAGTCTTAAGGCAGTGGCATGCAAAACCTGTGTGCTTGTAAAGTTATTAGATTTGAGTGCAGCTGGCATATCAGTCTTTTTTAGTGACAATGTGCCCCTTTTGAAGCCATCTGGGATCAAATAACTCAATTTTCCATTCTTAAGAAGACGTGGTGACTTTCACTTGTGTGTGTTAGATATTTGCGGTTCCGATGCTAATTCTTTAAGAGAGTCTTTGTAAAGTGGATAGCTTAAGCAAGCTCGGCATAATCTTAAAAGTGCCACAATGAAAACAGAACTCAACTTATTGAATAGGTGGAATAATGAAACCCTCTTTATCCTATTTTCTTCCTAACACTGTTGTGTCCCTTTTACTAGTGTGTAATAGTGAACTATTTAGTTGTCAACATGGCATTTTAGAAGTGTTTCTTCTTCCATTCTAATTCTAACATTATTCTACAATGTGCATTCATTGTTAAGTCGATAGGAATAAGTACCAGCTAAACAGACTGTGTGTAAATACAACGAAGCGAGTGACAGGGCCGAACAAAGAGCCCCATCCAGAGGTTTGGTAATCCTTTACATCCTATATGCAATCACCTCTCCTGCCAGTCACAAACCACAAATCCATTTCCAAACACTTAAAGAACACCAATGCTATTAGGTCAGAAGCAGGCTACAACCTCCTTCAAGCTTCATCAAAGCGAATTTAAGCATACCCAAAGTACCCATAGACAGTCGGGTGATAAATTCCTTCACCTCTGCAACCATGTTTGCCTCAACAGGTCTCCCTTGTTTCTCCCAACTGCCAGAGGAAAAAATAAAATTTAATTAAAAACAAAGCTTAAGTAGAGCTCCCCTCTCTCCTTGAAAAAAATTTAACTTTTTCAACAATGCTTATATAAAAACACCTGACATTACGTATTAAACTAATACAAAGTAAACAAAATTAGAAAAATTAACTATTAAAGCACAACCATACACAATGCACCACAGCAGTCGCCTAACACAGCCTGCCTAAATCTCTAAAGCTCACTTTTTCCTAAAGATTTTACCCTGGAAATCATCACCTAAGAATTGATTGATAGCAGGCAGCAAGAAGACAGGTCAATCTCTACATTGATTAGTGGTGATGGTGGTGATGATGCTGATGATGATGATGATGATGATGATGATGATGATGATGGCAGATGGAAAAAGTTCATGTTGTCAGTCATCCATTGTGCAGTTTACTTTAACAGACACGTCTCCATGAAATGTCTCGTCAGACCCCAGTGTAAATGACAAAGATTGTGGAATTTGCAAGGCCCAAAAGCCACAGTATGCACATAATATTTCAGATAGCTGTGAATGATGGATGTTATTATGCAGCTTTTGGACAGCAACAGCAGGATGTGACCTGGTGAAAGAACAGTGGCAGAGGAGGTTGTGATAATGTGCCGGCCCATTCAAAGATTTATGAATAAACAATATCTCCCATTTACAGTCAACTCTGTAACTGGGAGGGGAGGTCAGCACTAAAGAAACGTGGTTCCTCTTTCTTTTGCCAAATTGGGCGAGTTCGGCACTGGCTGTGCACACTGAACCATAATAATCCAGATATGATGAAACAAAAGCCTGCATAAGTTGCCAAACTTGAGACTGTGACTTTGACTATAGCCCTGAGCTGAAGGAAATTGGCTTTCACAGCACAGTTTTTAGGTTTATCAAATTTGAAAGCAAAATTATCACACAAAAAATCCCAAAAGATTTTTTGCCATGTGGCTTAATGCATAGCTGTAGGGACCCAAGACATCCAGTTTTATCTATGAAAGTCTTGTTCTCAGACTGAGAGTAAGAACATTTCTTGCCATCTAGCATTTAATAAGCTCTAGGCTCTCAAAAAAGTAAGCTCTTAAACAAACTAAAGAAAACTATAGAAGAAATATATTTGCTTGAAATAAACCTACTTTCAATTAATTTTAAAGAGAAACAAAACTGCAAGGGTACAACAATACACAAATTAGTAAGTAATACGCATTCGTCTATAACATATTGTTGTGTTATGCCAGTGCAATTACTCTGGCAGATAGATTGGCTGTTTTTTTTATGTGACTTACTTTATAATTACACCCTCAAGTGGAGCACCTGGTAAGTGAAATACTGGCACTTATTCCGTTCATAAGGCATTGAGTTAAACCAGGATGTGTTATTTCTTCTTGGTTTTGAGTGAGGCAGTAAAGATGTAGTCTGGAAAACAAAGTGGTATAATACCACCAACAGGCCTGAACATAACCAACTTAACCACTGCACCACCTCTCCAATTCCTCTGCTGTTTACACACACACACACAGACAAACACACACACAAACAACAATAATTGTGAATAATGACTCGAACTCGAGCACAGCACTGTGAGACTTGCTTTCCAATGATGTCTTTGTACGTCAGGTGCAATAATTACTTCCCAATTACACAGACTCACACACGCACACACACAGGATTCCCGTGACATCTGACTGATTTCCAACATGTTCCATCTCCTGCTGGTTCGCATTCAGACATCTCAAGTTTAAGCCTAATGTGCCGACTGAACATCCCTAATGTGGATTAGCTATGCATGGTGGTGTCTGCCAGGAATCCTTGCCTCCCTAATGTGATATGACTAAAAGTGCTGCCATGTTTGTGTGTGCGAGTGTGTTTTTGCACTGCGTTGACATGAAACCATGCACTCTAAATAACTATAGCCTTTCTATTTTAACATCCACACCCGGAAGGATTATAGAAGACGTTTAATACTAGTCTGACCTGGAAAACTAAATTTATAGAGGAGGAGATGCCAACAGGTGCACTGTACATATGCAAGCATGCTTCCAGTATTTAAAACTGAAATAATGTTTTTGTGTGTGCATACTTAAATTAAGTAGAAGCCCTACCTCGCCCTGTAACTTTTAAATCGAAGTCATGATGAAATGATTAGGCTGTTTGTTGGATAATAATGCTGACTGTTCATGCTGAGAGTGCACTTTTGCTAATGAGTGATAGTCAAGGAATAAAGATTCTAATGATTTACTATAGACAACTGGTGATCCACAGTAACCTAGAGGTGATTTGTGAGTACCAGGATACTGATGTAGTAGAGGGGAGGAGTGACTCAGAAGTTAAACGTGTATGTGGACATATATAGTGTGTGAATTGTTATGTACAAATGTTTCCTTGCACAGTGACTTGAGACCTGGTTTATGACACAGTAAGTTTACATTTTTGAATGTAATCATGCCACGAAAAGCCTGTTAATGACATCTGTACACTGCTCTAACATTGTCTGCCTGTTCAATGAAAACTCTGCATTAAAATTCCACAATTACATTAATAATTAAGTCAACTTTAAGGATGCCACTATAAATGATTTAGATGCTGGTGTTTGTGATTTGGACCAAGTGCCAAGTTAGTGTGCTGAGTTGAATTGAAAGGAGCGTGATTACTACAGCAGAGCACATGGAGGAGATGAATACAATACATGATAAAAATGCTTACTGTCTGAGTGTCAATGTTAGTGCTTAGCTATCATTTCTCAGACAAACCTGACCATGAGCCACAACCATCAGTGCCAAACTGCAAATGATTTCATTCTTTCATTCATCTTGATTGAAAAGGTGGCTGACAGAAACAGTGTGATTTCTAATCTTGACAGCATCACCACATTACAATACAACTGCTACTGTAAATGTTTCAACATCAAACTAAAGTCAAAACCCCACTGCAGCCTTCAAATTGAAATTCAAAAGTGTGCCTCACAGGTATCAGAACATCATTTGAGGGCAATTTCCACTCACAAAAGACATCAAAAGTGTTAACCTGTACCATACTCAGTGATGTAGTCAGACATAAAAAATAAACAGCCCCTGTGCAGCATTGCTTTGTTCTTGTGGTATAGCAGCAGTTCCACAGCAGGAAAGTGAAGATAAATGATGTTTACTAATGATTGTTTTTTTCTTAAGGGAGGTTTAACAAGGAAACTGTGTCACCTAGTATCAGTTCATCTCAAATTCAATAATTTTCTTAAATAACAGGCAGACTTTTTGTTCATGAAACAGCTGGTGTTCATTCTTAGCGAATACAATGTGGGAATACGAATTAATTTATATTAATTCATATTTCTGTAAATACTTAGTACAAGGTTAAAAGCCCTGTAGGCAACACTTCAACTTCGATCAATAACTACTGTAAACAACCAAACATCATCAGTGCAAATGTAGCCTTTTCAGTGGGTCAGCTTTGGAAATAAATTTGTTTGCTGAAAACATGAAACGTCATTATTCCTCACAACCAGAATGCAACGCTTTCATTTTTTCTATTAGTGCAACATCATGCAGACTTCCTCTGTGTCATTTATTAATCCTAATTATGACAAAGTAAACCAGTTAATTGGACTTTTTAAACATGCTGCTGCAGGTACCTTCGAGTAACCTGAACTAAATCTTTTTTACACTGTGTAGCAGCCCTGTGCAGTGTCAGTGTATCAGCGCAACAATCAAGGTGTTACCTTTGAAGAAGCAGTCCTTGCTGTGCACCACATAGATCCGTCTCCTCTCCAGGCAGGCGGTGCGGTAAACCTCGCAGTGGTTCTCGTAGAACCTGCCGTCTGAGCCACACACTGGCACAAAAGAGGGCCGGCATTTTTCTTGGCAAACACACTCAGCGCGGCCGGTTTCTGCCATCAGCACACACTGTCGACCCCGTCCACAGTAGGTCCTCCGACAGGGACCTCCGTCTGGGTCAGAGAGGGCTGGAGGAGCGAGAAGAGAAAAGGTTTTCTTTAGCAAGGGAGGAAAAGGAAATAAGCACGATCATTGCAAGAGAAAGAGAAATAAGCTTTCTGTATCAACAATTTTATTCTCATCTAGTCTTTTTCATCATAAAGACAGGTACAAGACAGAGATCAAATCAATTCAGACTATGCAAAAATAAAATACACCTGTCTCATCAGCAAGGATCACAACTTTTGGGCTGAGACAGATAGGAGTATTGCATCCTTGCGGATTCCTGTCCAGGAGATTCACCTTATTTCACAATAAAATAATGGTATATAATAGTACTGTATAGTCAGTGTCAAGAAGAAAGTAATGTCTAAAATATAAAACTGGCCCCTAAACAGCAACCGGTGGACCCTGCTAAAAAAAAAAAAAAAAAAAAGAAAGAACTTGAAGAGCAGTTGTGAAATCTTTCAACCTCTCAAAAATCTCCCTGTTACATTTGTGTACACTCTACATCACAATGGCTGTTTAGTACGACTAAACTTTGTTTGGTTTCCAGTGCTCCACACAAGCCTCTACTGAAACACGCTGTTGGGGTTCAGGAACAGATTCGTTATAAAAGCATAATTTATGATGCACTACTCATAACTGCTCGCACTGTCAGGAGTGTCACCCCTGAATGTCTTGTTCAAATGGTATTATGTCTTTGTTTAAAATAACTGAACTTGTAAGTAGCACCACTTAAAGCAGTAGAAGCACTTAAATAATATATTTGACATTTCTAAATAAGGCTTACATTCATTCTGATTCAAATAAATACTGCATTAGCTAAGCGAGTAAAATAAGACAAGGGAAACATATCAATTACGACACAGTAACAAGATGAAATATACAATATGCACAGAAATAGAAAAGGCGTAAACTCAAGCCAAACACCTCCAGTCTTCATCGCAGTTCTAAGACGGCGCTAACAAGGAGAAACTTTTAATTTTATTTTATTTTCAAAACCAATCATACAGCCATGAGTCCTTATTAACGCCTTTCAGCACATATTCGCACATATGTGTGCACATATACAAACACAAAGAGATCTGCATACCTGAGTTGAGCTCACACTGTCCGCTTTACCTACTCTAGCCTCCATCAACACACACACACACACACACACACACACACACATACCACACACACCCCTATACCTACACACACACACACACATACACAGACACACATATTCACACAGTTCACTATCTTCCACACACGCAGGTACAAATGCACAAGCTAAGCATCCCCATCATCACCACTCACTGACTAGGACACCCCGCTTCTGGCCCTGATTTAATCTATTTGCACTTAAAGCAAGTCCAAAAGCTGCTGATCCAGCCAGATGCTCCACCTTGGATTGATCTTTCCTGACTCCATGAGCTTGACCCCCCACCTCCCACCCCCTCTTCTTGTTGTGATCTGAGGGTTGGATTTATGGGCCCATATGCCTTTGGGTTATTGCGGTAAAAAAAACAAAAAAAAAACATGCTCAAGCAGGTACAAGCAGGGCATTTGGTGCCTCTCAAATCCACCTGGCGAATGTCAATAGTAATAAATTAGACATAAAAATTGAGTTGAAAACCCTCCCTGCGTTTACACATTATTCATAGCATAGTAAGAAAGCTCAATCAATATTAGCAAACATGAAAAACTCCTACGCAGGCACCCACATAGTGTTGAATTAGCTGGCAAAGAACAACTCCAGTTCAGAGTTTATTTGATTAAAGATAGCTGTGTATTTTTATGTGCGAATATATATACATTTTCATATGCAAATAAACAAAGTCAGATTTCTTTCTTCTAAATTAAATTTGAGTTAATTTGCAGTTTTGTTTCTGCAGGAGGGAGGAGGAGGTCAGTAAATTCACACTTCTTAACCCCTGAACTCCCACACAATACTGCCCATGCAGTTACAGAAAACACAAACATCAAAAATAGTTTGAAAACTTTAAGGACTGCAGCCATTGCAGGCATGTGGCTGGGTATTTATCCTTCAAAATGTATTGGTCTTAGATCAAATAAAATAATCTGAAGTTTTGGTGTAAAAGCAAAGCTTCACCCCTAATTGACCCAGTTGAGTTTTAAAACTATTTCTTCTTTTAAAAATTCAAGCACTGACTCCTTTTGATGTTAACAAGCTGTTATTTGCCATGGAAACCAAGGCAAATATAAAGGAGGTGACTGCTGGCTGCAGCAATGAGAGAAAGAAATTGCACCACGTGAATAAACCTGATGGCATGGTAGAAGGAAAACAACACTATAGAATGGTGATAATGAAATTATATTTCTAGAGCTAGAGAAATAAGCACGTAAAACAGAATCTAAAGTTGGAGCTCTTAACAATACATTTTGGTTATGGGCCACTGTGAAGGCCATTTTACCATTACAAGGAAACAAATACACATCCAAAAGGGACTTGGTGGCCATTGTGTTGATGCTGTTTTGAGGTTTTGAGTCGGTTAAGATGCTGAGAAGGGGTCAGCTCTATTATCCTTCTGTGGAATAAGGCTAAAAACCATACTGGCTAAACTTAAAAGAGCCCAGTCCAGGCTTTTATAATCAAACTGCTGAAAACAGAAATTGAATTTGCCTGGAGTATAATCATATCTCAACTCTCAGCATATTCAATAATGGAGGTAATGCACTGTTGTCGGAGGACAAAAGTCCCTTAATTACATAAAGCCGATTCCGAGGCACAAAAGCATGCACACAGACACAGACACAGACACAGACACACACACACACACACACACACACATTAATACACTAGCACCCTCCTACTCACTTTGAGGTGTCAGTATGCAGGCAAGCATACACTCTTGTGTTTAGTCACCGTCTAATACACAACATCTGTGCTTGCAAACAGAGGCACCTTACAATGCACACATACAGACACTGTAGAAAGAATTAGTCTATCTATCAATACAATCAATCAACATTACGATTAATTGAATTTAATTAATTTTAGTAATTGATTAACTGTCACAATGTCCTACCCTGTTGTATATCGATGTAAATTAAAAATCTGTTTTTTTTTAATTGTTGGTCAGAAAAAAACAGGAAGAAGAATTATATATAAAACTTATAATCAGCATTTTTCACTATAGTTATACATTCTAGAGATTATACTTTAAAGAAAATGTATTGATAGACTAGTCGATATGAAAATAATCAATATCTGCAGCCCTACACAAAAAGTGTTGTCTTACCTGACTCGGTAGTATTGACTACTTCTTTATCATAATTAAGTGTGGAAGTAAGGAAGCTGTTGGGTTGGGGGTGTGCCAGGTAACTACCTCGAGGGGAGCGTAGTCTTTTGAGGGGGGGGGGGAGGCATAGTCAATGCCTTTTTATCCAGTTTACTAATTGTTCTCCGTGTCTCTGCAAAGCATCTGTGGGAAATGCAAAATAGCTCAGCTCCCTTGCGACCTTGCTGTTCATGTCAAGGTCGGGGACGATTACAAGATCGTTTGTATTCTCCAAGCGTGGGAGATTAAACGCTTAGCAACAACCGTCCAGCAGCAGTTACCCACTGGTGGCTGTTCTTCCATCTTCCTATTCTTGTTTTCTCCCTCCCTGCCTCTACTTTCACTCCATCAGCCCCCTCGCCCTTTCCCATTTTGCTCAGAGAAAAGAGTACATGAACAGCAGCCACTCAAACAACAGAAACAATGGTGCATAAAAAGTTACATCTACAATACACAAGCTGTCTGACATTTAGTTAAGTCCTAGTGCTCGCGCTCATCCTCGCTGTAAGTCCTTTGTCTCGCGTTCTCTTGGACCATGTTGGCTGCAATTGTGGCTTGCTTAAGAGGCTAAAAGTGCGTTTGATAATCCTCCCTGTCTAAGCTGCAGGCACAGTGCTTATAAATGGCTCTTACAAGTTCAGACGCTCTGCAGTGCCAAGACAATGCCAGGCTGACCATCCGGTGTCAAGCCCTGCATCCCGTCGCTCCAGTCCTTTCTCTTTTATTCTTTATTGGGTCCTCTGTCTTTTTTCCCTTTATTTTGCTGTGCATGTGTATACACTCTTTTTTCCTCAGTCCTTTTCTGAATTCCCGTCTGGTGCTGAGTTCTGCTAGGCTTCAGGGAAAATGAGTCCGGGCATTGTCCACTATAATCAGAGATTTCCCAGACATGTTTTGCAAGGAACTCTGTCGTTAATTGCATGGGAACATGAGGGATTTGTGTTAAGACCATTTTGCCTTATCTTTCTGACATTTTTCGACAGACAAAGATAAGTTTCCCCTTTCATTTCCTTTTATGCAAGTCTAAGTGGATGGGAGCATAACTGGGGGCACAGCATGACCGTCTGCCTGCCTGACTGACTGACTACCTTTTCGTTTGTCGGAAGAAGCTACAATCTTGTCAGTATCAGCCCTCGCTGTATCATTGTGATGAAGCCGTTGGTAATTTGAATCCAGAGCGAGACATGCAATCTGTACGCACGCAATCACATACACATTGTACAGCACGCTCGCATAAAGAACACAGCACACACACAGGCAGAGAAAAAGAAAGAGCCAATATATGTCACTTCACTCTGGAAGCAAAGCACTTGTCTAAACCCTCGCTCTATTTAACAACTAAAATATGCCTCAATATATTTGTACCTGAGGCTAGACTCTCAAGCTCTTTAAATCCTTTTAACATTTAAAGGCAACAAACTTTATTTATTTTGTATTTAATCCAGCTCCATAGAGGCTGAGTTTGTTTTGTTGGTTTTTGATACGTTCTCCTCAGAGAAACAGAGGGACACTGCCGAGCTTCTTACTAATTAGACTGGAAGAACATTTGCCCTGCTGATATGGGACTCGCTGCCTGCAGCGCAACCATGTTATAAACTGCCCTGATCCATGGAAACACAGAAGCTGCTGTCACAAACCCTTCAGGATATCAGTGTGTGACATTTACAGAAACCGAGAGTGGACAATTTTTGCCAGCAGACAGCTTTTGTTAGATATAGTTCAACCCTAAAAGTGTCCTT